TTTCTGGGCACAGTCAACTTCTCACATGGGGCCACAGGAAGATGTGTATGGAGATGTTTGTCTCCAAGTTGTTTGAGGCAGCAAAAATGTCAGAAGTTGAAGTCCATGACTAATAAAATAGATAAATCAAATGGAGGCTGTGGAGACACTAGAGTACTGCACAGCAGCCAGGCACAGTGATCATATAGCAACATTAAAAAAATCTCAAAAACATAATCTTGAGTGGAAAAAGTAAGAACTTATCCATCTTACGGCACGGTATGAATTGTGTGGGCCTTAAAAACAAACACAAAGCAACATCAGTTAAGAATATACATACTTAATGTACAAACAGAGGGTAGAGCAGAAAGACACAATAAACACCCTATAATGAATAATTATAGAAGAGGGTGGGGCTGTTTCCCGATCTTAGGTCCTTTGCCCATTTGGTGGGTGCTGGGTGGAGAGGATCCATGGGGGGGCGGGATATCTGTAATACTTTCAACAATTAAAAAAAAGAAGATGGGGAATGTGATCAAGAGGGAAAAATAAAAGAAAAATTAATAAAATAGAGAGCTTCCCAGAGAGAGTACAAGGATAATATTGAGATACTGAAAAGCATGTTTAATTAGATTTTGTGCACCTGGTCTAATAAGGGGAGGGTTGGAAAGTACAAGAAAGGAAATAAAATATGAAAACAAAAGAAATAAATCTTAGTCTCTTGATATTGTAAAATTACAAATTGCTATTTTTTTTTAATTTTCCCATAAAACAGTTCATATTTGAACAATTAAAAAACAGAACATGGACTCTTTACCCAGTTGCTACTTTAATCTTATTGACTTTAATCCATCTAATGCAAGTTGTATATAAAGATGATTCTTTCTTCAGGACATAAACTGTTACATTTTTTCCCACACAAACTCACACTCACTGATTTCCAGTTTCTTACTCTGATATCAAGTCTTATTCCAGAACTTGTCATTATTAATAATGATAATCAATAAAATTCTTTGAATTATTCACAAAGCTATCCTCGTTGTTAAATGATTTAGCTCTATATTCAATTGGAATTCAGTGATTCCAAAACTCTATAATAACTTTTAGTTATTAACACTGCAGTTCTAAATGTGTATATAATTTTCTTCTTTCCTCCTCTGTTTCCTTCTATCTCACATTCAAAGGCTTTTACAGATTTACACAGGGAATTTTTAAAAAGCTGTATGTAAAAAAACAAGAATCATGATGCAGATAGTGTTTATTAACTGTTTTTTTTGTTTGGTTGGTTGACTGGTTGGTTGTTTTTATTTAATAATATGTTGTCAGCTTCTTCTAGTGTCATCATCTTTCCAGCATATGATTTAGAAAATTGGGGCTTTGCCATAATATTTTTTAACAAATCTACTACTGGACAGTTTGATCATTTTTAGATCTTGCTTCTTCTAAAAAATGCTGCAGTAAACACAAAATGGGGATAGTTTAATTTTAAAAGGGGATGGGGAAGTTTAAAAGGGAGTGCACTAAAACAAACTATGCCTCTAAGAAAACCTGATGGGGCTCAAATATCCTTTGTTCACGTATCAGATGCTAGTCTCCACTGCTCTGTTTAGGAAATTTTTCGATTACCTAAACACACTGGGCATTTTGTGCAATCAAGTGCTAACTGTTTAAGTTAAGAAAATTATCATTTTGAAAATAGTCTCTAAAAATAGTGAAGAGGGGTTGTGGGGAGACAGCTTCCCACAGTGAAAAATGAAAAAGCAGGACGGAATCCAAAGCTCTCTGCTCTCTCACCCACCTTAAATACCCTGACGCTTGGGATGAAATACAATAAATAAAAGCATGTTATATGGAGGCATGTGAGATCTAGGTTAGGGTTTATTGCAAAACAAGCCAATCTAATTCAGCAAATACTGACACAAAACTGAGCTGTGTCGTGTGGTGCATGCAAAAGTGAACAAGATGGAATCTTTACTTTCAACGCATTTATAATCTGGCACTGGGGGTAGGAGGGGGAAAGCAACTCTATTAAGGGATAGAATATATTAATATAACATGCCAGTATTTTTTAATGAATTTCTGTAGGAAAAATTGCACCTGCCAAAGAAAATAGGCGGGGAGGTGGGGGCATAGATACATGGGAAGCAAGAAGGGGTGACAAGCAGGACTTCACAGTAGATTCCACATATGACGACAAGAGCAATAGCACTAGAAACCCAAGGGGAAAGGAAAGTTCGTTTAAGGCCAGACGGTGATGCCACCTGATGAACTACTGGGAGCCAGAGGAGGGAAAACACATTTGTTGAGAGAATCACAAATACCTTCCGGTGAAAGATGGCATCTGAAACAGACATGGGCGTGATGATGGGATGTCCAAAGTCCAAGAATAGGAAATGGATACGGAGCATCTGCGTTCCTTAGAACTCTCTATAGAGCCTGTTCCAAGGGTAAGGTCTACCATAAAACTAACCTTCTCGAAACCTAAGCCCTCCTGAGACATAAGGGAGCAGAGACGCTCAATACAATCCTTAACCCCCCAGAAACTATAGCACACGCCTAACAAAGCGCTAGCCCAGCAGCTAATGTCCACCCAGCAGATCAAAAGGCGTCAGTGCTACCAAAGGGAGTTTCTCGATGAGGGGCCATAGTTCCATCAGTCTGTTTACCAATTTCGGATCTGAGAGTGAAGACTTGATGTGAGAATTATTTAGTGGAGAAAAAATGAGGATCACTTGGGAAAGGATAAATAAAAGAAGATCTTTAAACAGATTATTTCTCAAGTCTGGCTAAGCATCAGAACCATCTGAGCTGACAGTTAAAAGTATTCATCCCGCCCGGCCGGGCGTGGCTCAGCGGTTGAGCGTCAACCTGGGATCCAGGGGACCAGGGTTCGATTCCCGGTCAGGGCACATGCCCGGGTTGCGGGCTCGATCAATGACTCTCTCATCATTGATGTTTCTATCTATCTCTCTCCCTCTCCTTTCCTCTCTCTGAAATCAATAAAGATATATTAAAAAATAATAATAATAAATAAAAGTACTCATCCCTGCCCCACCACCCACCTTGGGTGATTCTGATTCAATAGGTTTGATTTGCGAAACCTCTCTAAGGGATTCCCATGTGTAGTCAGGTTTAAACTCATGGTTTAATATGAAATCCCTGCCTTCCATGAAGAAACAGAATACACAGGGGTTGGCAAAATTAGGTTTACAGTCGTTCGTATGGAAAAAGACATGCAGGGTTTGATTATTACAATACCTTTAACTCAAGAATGCACTCACAACTGTAAACCTACATTTGCCTACCTCTGAATATATTTGTATATGCATATAATGTTTCTCAGCATAAATGGGTAGAAAGAAGATAAATATTATGATTCCCAGGACAAGTCCTTAACATAAAACTCCACCTCAGTTATCCCCTCTGAAAAACAAAAGATTTGGAATAGAAAATAATTCAGATCCCTTGTAGTTCTAAAATAACATGATTTTGGTGCTTAGTTAAGTCAGAACTTTAAAGAAAAAATTAGCTCAAGGTAAAAACTTCCCATCTGGGCTTACTGAAATATTGTAAAAAGTTTTTAGTTCTAAATTGGGTTCCTTATTTATAATTTTCTCTTCTTTTCTATGATTTTTTTTTTTTTTTTTTTTTTTTTTTTTTTTGGTAATACTCTCTTTAAACTTACAGCTATGGCATATTTTTAAAGAATTCTTATAAATATAAATGCCAGCATTTGTTTTACATTAAGTCAAACAAAATAGCAATGGTACAATGTACCAACATTACAAAGTACATATGATTTACACAGGGCATAAGAACTTTATTTTGATGTTCTTTAAATGTTCATGAACCACGTCCTACTTGGTTGGGGATTGTTTCCTCTACTTTGTTCAAGACAGTTTTAGCAGCTATAAGTGCTTCCTGGAGGTAGAATGCTCTTTGATCACTCAGCACCTAGGATAGTTCCTGCCTCATAGCAAAAAATATTTATTGGATGAATTCATAAATTCACAGATATGCAAAAACCTTCTCTTAGCAAAAGTTTTCACCAATGGCTCTTACACTGTATATTTCTGCTGACAATGTGGTGTCCTTAATATTTTAATATAATTTTTATCCTATAGTTTTTATATGTGAGTAAATAGGTTTTGGTACCAATGCCAGTGTGAATGTGGTAGAAGTGGGAGGGTCTCCACACCAACAACAAGCAATTTTGGGACACCAGCTGGGAGGCCTACAATTCAACTCAGTTATGACACCATCTACCCTGAGATAGTATCAGATTCCATGGGTTAGGGGTTCAGTCTTAAAAGACGGCCCCCCACACACACACTTTATAGGCCACCCGTCAAAAGCCCTGGTTGTTCCCTATACTTCTAAGGACAGACTATAAGTCACAGGTTCCCACAACCTCCTCCTTGGATTTGATTAATTTGCTAGAGCAGCACACAGATTCAGAGAAACATTTTACCTATTGGATTACTGGACTATTTTTAAAGGATGTAACAGAGATAGCCAGATGGAAGAGATGCATGGGCAAGGTTTGGAGAAAGGCTGAGGAGGGTCCCACTGTCCCAGCACCTCCACGTGTTCACCGGCCAGGAAGCAATCCGAACCTTGTCCTTCTGAGTTTTTATGGAGCTCTCATCACATAGTCTCGATTGGTTAAATCATTGGCCATTGGCCTTTGAATCAACCTCCAGCCCCTGTATCAGAGGATGGGGGTGGGGGTATTGCAAGTTAAACCCCTCTAAACACGTGGCTGGTTCCCCTGCACCCAGCCCCCATGCTCAGGTTATCTAAGGGGCTTTCCAACAGTCACCTCATTAACAGAACAAAAGACGCTTTTATTGCTCTTAATTCCGAGCCTTTCAGGAGCTCTGTGCAGACACCTGGCTGGAAGACCAAATGTATATTTAATATAAATCACTATATCACCGTGAGTCTAAATCACTTTAAGCCTTTCAACCGCATTCAGCATTAAACGTCAGCAAAGGTTCCTGAGCTGTTCTTTCACCTACCTGCAAGTGCTGCTTTTCTGCATGACGTCAGCTCGGTGATACCCAGAGAGTTTGCAAAAACCGTCATTACTATAAACTACAGGCCAATCTACAATCTGGGCGTTTCCCAGCAAGAAACTCGATTCTAAAGAAGAAAGGGAAAAGAGGAAGTTTTTAGCTTCATTTAGCAATGTACTTCTTTCAAGTAATAAGAAAAACCTCACAATTCATAAAGATAGGCAAATACAACTATGGTTTGCTATGGTACAAATAATAAAACCTGTCCTTGATATTGACATAATGAGTTTACCGTGATCATCAAATGAGATCTGCAATAAGTACAAGATTTGCATACAAACTAACAACTCAGTGGAACAGAAGCCAGTTTATGTAATACCTCTTTCTGTTCAATTATAATCTAAGCTATGAAAACAAACTAGGGTTAATATTAAACAAATGTTAATGTCTATAATAATTATACCTAAAAACCAGTTGATTTATTAAGATTAGGGCTACAGTCACTTCTATACACATTGAGAATATTGGACTTGATAAAAGAGGTAAACTTGTATGACTCCTCTAAAAATTCTATTCATATAATTTTGGACATGATGGAATAAATTCAACTGATCTTAAGAAGTCTAATTTAAAATAACATTGAAGAGATCCTTTTAAAAATAAAATTATTCAAAGATATTATTTTCAACGACATGCTACACAAAATTTGGGAACTATCTTTAGTCTAAATAAAGAACCATCTCTGGTCTATTTTGCATAAACAAGTAATTTTCTTTATGCATAAAATTAATACAAAAATAGTATCTTTTGATATCAACCTTCATTAAAAGTCTCATAGTCTTAGGCAATAACTTCAGCAATATTTAGACGTGATAAATATGTTAGCATTAAAATGAATTAAAAATAAAATATTAAAATATAAAACTGAAAAATTATTTTAAAAATAAATATTTTAAAAGAGTACAGATGTTAAAAGAAATACTACACTTCAACAAACTCAAAATATCTGCCTAAAATAATCTTGTTTAAGCTCACATTCAGAGTAGTGCACTAAAAAGAAATTAACTTATGAGTAGAAAACTAAGTGTAAATCCTGACTCACAGTCAATCTTTATAAAATCAGTGCAATTCAACACTTACTAAGTAGCTGCTAAGTAAAGGGTGCTGTTCTGGGGCAGACAATGGGCTAGAATAAAGATCAATACAACATACCCTTTACTCTCACAAAACTTACATATTAAGAAAAACAATAAAATAACAATCAGTTACAATTTATCAGAATAGATGCTAAATCAAGAAGCATAGGACAAATTATGGGGGAAAATTTGTTTCAAGGCACTAAAAACCAAACAAACGCAGGTAGAAACTGAAAAATACAAACCCTTAAATAAAAGGAGATAGATTAAATGATACATTCACTTAACTGTTCATTCCCCTGTGAGTACTTCCCAATTTGCACAGTCCATGGGGGACAGAATTCAAGCAGAAAAGTCAAAGGTCACAATTTGGGACTGCCAGAGCAGCTTGACATTAAGAGGGAGATGCTTTGACATAAACCCATATATGAATCTACCTCAAATCCTTGTCTGTGCATACACAGGATAAGACAACTAAGGAACTCATCAAGTCTAGAAATGACTAGAAGGCTAAAAAGCAGGCAGAAATTTTAGCACCTTCCCAAGGCTACAAGGCAAATTTCAGAGTTCAAGTCCTATCAAGCTAGAGAAGCTTGATAAATTCCCTGAGATTTCCATTTAAGCCACAGAAAGTCATGCTCACAGTCTATGACAGACAGTAAGATAAAAAATGTAGCCATCTCTCTCTCTCTCTCTTTCTCACACACACACATACACACACATAAAAAAGGCAAAAATCATTATCAAGGTGACCCACCAATAATTTAACTACCTGCTAAAATAAAATGTACCCCTCCTCAGAGGAAAATAATTAAATCAAAAGTTTCTATAATGTATCAAGCCGATGTCCAGTATACAATAAAAAATTATGAGGCATGCCTTGGCCAGTTTGGCTCAGTGGTTAGAGTGTTGACCCTCGGACTGAAGGGTCCCAGGTTCGATTCTGGTCAAGGGCATGTACCTAGGTTATTGGCTCGATCCTTGGCCTTGGTCAGGGTGGGTGTGGGAGGCAACCAATCGATGTGTATCTCTCACACCGATGTTTCTCTCTTTCTCTCCCCCCTCCTTTCCACTCTCTCTGAAAAGCAATGGAAAAAATATCCTCAGGTGAGGATTAAAAAAATTATTAGGCATGCAAAAAATAAAAATCAGAGAACTGTGACAACAATCTGGGGGGAAATAAGCAATAGAGAAAGAGGTCAATATTGGAAACAGACAGAAACAATACAACCTCTGAAATAAAAAAATAAAAATAAAAAAAAAACACTGAACAAGTTTAACAGTAGCTTAGACCCTAAAAAAAGGCCAGTTTTAAAACATATCCATGAAAGTTATTGCAAACTGAAGAAAAAAGAGAAACAGATTAAAAAGATGTCCTGTGGGACAGTATCAAGCAGTCTAAAATACATGTACTTGAGTCGGAGGGAGGAGGGGATGACAGAATGAGGCACAAATGTTATTAGGATAATTGATGACTAAAATTCTTCCAAATAGCATAAAAAATAACCCACAGATCTTAGCTCAATAAACCTCAAGCTGGAGGTCCCAGTTAGACTCCCCGGGGTTGTCAGGAGGCAGCCAATCAATGACTCTCATCCTTGATGTTTCCATCTCTCTCCTCCTCCCTTCCTCTCTGTGAAATCAATAAAAACATTATTTTTTAAAACAGGAAACAAAAAGGAAACCCACAGACTAAAAGAAAATATTCACAATACAGATATCTGAGAAAGAACCTCTATTGAGAACATTAAAAAACAATTCCTACAAAAGAACAAAAGAGTCAATTAACAAAATGGGCAAATGACTTGAAGACATGTCACAAAAGAAAACAGACAGTGGCCCGTAAGCACAATGAGATGCTCACCACCACCCTGCATCGGGGAAATAGGAGCTAAGAGCTCAAGGATACATGGATCCTGCTCAGCTACCAGAGTGGTTACAAAGGCCAGCAGTGCGAACTGCTGATGGAAATGTGGAACAACTCGAGGGCTTTCTAGAACGCGAGTGCAAATGCAAAATGGCATGGTCACTTTGAAAAACGATTTCTTGTAAAGTTAAATATCAACTATGACCCCAAAATTTCATTCCTAGGCATCTACTCAAATGAAATGAAAACGTATGTTAGCAAAAAGACTTGTAGAAAAATGTTCACATCAACCTTATTCATAGAAGCCAAAAACTGAAAACAATGCCCATGTCCACCAACAAGAGAATGGGTTCAAAATCGTGGAGCATTCTGATTCCCATTCAATTGTGGGATGGTGGGGGGGCTGCCAGGAAAGAGAACAGAAGTTCCCAGGGAAGGCAATTGTCCTCTGTCTTCATAAAGGGAGCAGGTACACAGGTGTACACATTTGTCCAAGCCAACTGAACTCTACACCCTACTACTTAAGCTCTGTGTATTTTACCTCACATAAATTATATCTCAACTTTAAATGAAAACACAAGGAACACAAAGGACCAGAGAATCAGAAGTTTTAGGAAAACTGGCATTTAAGCTGAACCTTAATTATAAGAAAGGTACTTAGGGTAGAAAATAAAATGAGCTTATTCCTACAAAAATGCTTTGTAAAGAATTAATCCCTCTATAAATACATGATATTTTCTTTTATGCATAGCATCAATTATAAATATTTGTAATATGATCACCAAAAATTAGCTTCTTTCCCATCGTAGCCCAGGCCAGGTCCTAGCCAATTTACCTTCTCTTCTCCCTGTAGTCTCACTTCATGGCGAGGTCACGGTGGCAGCCCATTCCGCTAGCTGCAGGGTCTCCCTGCCTCAGCTCATCCTGATTTTCAGTCTGACTTTCAGACTAATGTTCACTGGTTCCCCTGAAGCCCTGCGGCCACCCTACTACTCTTCATTTAGATCAAATCCTCTCCCAGACTTACAAAGCCTCTGAGATTCAGTCTCACCCTCCTGGCTATACAAACATATTTCTCATTCCTCCTAAAGTCCATAGCATTGCAGTCAGGCCGGTTTCCTTATTATATCCCCAAAATACACTCACTCATGACGCCCACTGCCCGCCTGAAACTCTCCCTCCATCCCTTTGCCTATCAAAACTTTAAAGAACCAGTTCAACTCTACCTTCTCTATGATATATTCACTGAGTACCGCTCAGCCCACATCCCCCTCTGGCTACCACCATGTCTGTCTCCAACCCTTCATAAGACAAGCTTACCATAAAAGTTGTCTGTTCTAGCCCTGGCCAGTTTGGCTGAGTGGCTACAGCATCAGCCTGTGGACTGAAGGGTCCCAGGTTCTATTCAGGTCAAGGACACAGGCCTCGGCTGCAGGTTCGACCCCCACCTGGGCCGTGTGTGGGAGGCAAGCAATTGAAGTGTCTCTCTCACATCGATGTTTCTCTCTTTCTCTCCCTCTCTCCCTCCCCCTCTCTCTCTTTCTCACTCCCTTCTACTCTCTCTGAAAAGCAAAAGCAATGGGAAAAATACTCTCTGGTGAGAATTAAAAAGAAAAAAAGGTGTCTGTTCTCATTGGTTCCATCTCCTCAGCTCCTATTCACTCAACTCACTCCTACTTGGCTTCTGCCCTCACCATTCCAAGACACCCAAGATCACCAATAACCTCTTCTCATCACCAAATCCAAAGGATGCTTTTTACTCGTTTCACTTGACAATTCAGAAGTTTGGTAACTATTCCCTCCTTAAAAGTTTCTCAATCATTAGCTTTTGTAGAACAGCATTCCCCTATTTCTTTGGACACTCCATTCCTTTGCAGCCTCAACATTCTTTATCCAGTGAGTATATATTAGAGTTCCTCCACGTCAGCCCCTCTTATACTTTCACCTACCTCCGTAGATTCAGTCACTCAACATTTCATATCACCAAACCAGACCTCCAGATCTTGTTATCCAAGTGGACCTCTCCTCTTTGATATCTTAAATGTACCTCAGCAGAACATGCCAATGACTTCCATTACCCTAAATCAGGTGCTTTTCTAGTGTTTCCTGTCTTAAAAAA